TGATGGTATATGTAAGTTTAGCATAGTGCCTAAGGCACTTGACTGCTAACCAGAAGGCTGGCGGTTCAAACCCACCAGACACTCCTCGAAAGGAAGGTTGGGCATTCCTACTTCCGTAGTGATACTGCCTCGGAAACCCAAGGAGGGGTCGCTATGAGTTGGGGCCGACTCAATGGCAAATAACACACACACACACAAGTGGTGATGGTATATGTAAGTTATGGAGTACAGTAATAAAATGAACACCAATGAACTTACCACCCAACATAAGAAGTAGAGCAACATCCAAAGCTTTGAGATTCCCCATAGGTTCGTCTCAAGTCCCTTTCCTTCTTGCTTCATTCTGTGACCCTATCCCAAATTTTTAAGATAATCATTCCCTTGATTTCTTTATAGTTTTACTATGTTTGTTTCCTGAAACAATATTTCATTTAGTTTTATTTATTTTTAAGCTTTTTAAAAATAGTGTTATCTATTATTTACAACAAATTTTCCCCCTCAGTATTATTTTTGTATGTTTCATGTATATAGAACTATAGAACCAAATTTTCTGGGTTTACATCTAGGCTCTGCCAAGGAATTGCTAGATGGCCTTGGGCTAGTTGCTTAATCTGCCCTTCAGTTTCTTTGTCTGCAAAATGGGGATGATAGTAATCCCTACCTCTTAGAGTTACTGAGGGAATGAGTGAACATAGTCAAGTACATAGAACAACGTGTAAGGGCTCTGCCATTTTAGTGATTCACATGTACACACACACATTGAGAGAAGAAATCTAGGTCTCTTGACTTTTAATCAATGCCTCTCCCTTCAGTTAGGCTCCCAAATATGACCCAAACCCATTTTGGACTTCATTTAAGAGCATTTATAGCATCTAACTATATTATACTTCCTTCAGTAATAATAATCAATAGTAGCAGCAGCAACAAGAGTAGTAGTAATTAAGTAATTAGTAGTAAAGCTGCATTTTATGGGCCCTGGCTGTTTAGTGAGAAGACCTACCTTTAAATCCCGCTTTTGCTTCTTTTGGGTTGTATGACCCTGGGTCTGTGAAAGTTTGAAAGCCTTCATTCCCTCATGTGTGTGACAAGACTAATGAGACTGGACACATCGAGGAAGAGTTTTTTTTTTTTAAATGAATGTCTGTAGAAACAAGAATCTCAGGAACTCTGTTTAGGAAATGCTGTTTAGAACCAAGTATTTTCTGGTTCTCCGTATTCATGTTCGCATATGGGTATCTTCTATATAAACAACAACATCAAAAAAAAAAAAAAAACCCAGAAAGCACGTGTTAAGTAAAACTATTATTAAAATGCTAAAAATCATTTAAAGAATAATGGCTACAATTTTACCTTAAATAGATTTTTTTTTTAACTAAGGAAACTTTGATTGTCACTACTACAGTATAAAATTTAACCACAGTTTCCAGTATTATTGGAAACACTTGATGTAGTAACATTAAAAATGTATAAAATTAATAAACAAGAGTGGTATTGTGAAGAACAAAGTAGGAGGCCTCACACGCCCCTGTCTCAAAACCTACTGTACAAACAATAGTCAAAACAGCCTGGTATTTGTATAGTGACAGACACATAGACCAAGACCTGTGGAACAGAATTGAGAACCCAGAAGTAATCCATCCATTTATGGATAGCTGATCTTTGACAAAGGGCCAAAATCTGTTGTTTTGGTTACCTAGTGCTGTTCTGACAAGAATATACCACAAATGGGATGACTTTAACAAACAGGAGTTTATTCTCTCACAGTTTGGAGGCTCTAAGTCCAAGTTCAAAGTGCCAAGCTCTAGGCGCTGGGTGAAAGCCCCTCAATCTTGGACTTCAGCTCTGATGCCTGCTCCTGGCCCACTGAAGCTGGAGGCTTTTGTTCACTCAGCTGCTGGCTGCTGAGGCTGACAAGCCCAAAGTTCACAAGTAATAAGGCACAGTCCTGATATTACCAAACCACACAGCAGGCCATTAATTCAAGTCTGTTAAAAGTCCCAAGATTGGCAGAGCATGGCAGGCTACTGGACAACGACTTGGCTACAGGTAGGGTTCAAGCGTGCCATAAACTAGAGACCATTCCCCAAGGCTTCTCTTTATATACAGGAAGCAGACCACATACCCAAAGGCAGCTACTCAGCTGCTTGTGGTAAATCTCACCATGGGGTTGACTGCCAGTCTCATCAACCAGATGAGTGGTACGAATAACTACCACCAACTGCCCAGCCACTCAACCAGGCCCAGCCAAGTTGACACACAAACTTAACTACCACACCTATTAAATGAGGAAGAGATAGTCTCTTGAATAAATAGTGCTAGCAAAGCTGGATATCCATCTGCAGAAAAATAAAACTGTTTCCATATCTCTTACCATGTAAAAAAAAATTGACCCAAGATAGATTAAAGACCTAAAACTATAAAGATCATCAAAGAAAAAATAGGGGCAAACTTACAGGCCCTAATAGGTGATGTCAATACACTATCAAACATATCTAAAAACACACAAACATCAGAAGAAAAATGAGACTACTGAGACCTTCCAAAAATTAAACGTTTATGTGCATCAGAAGACTTCACCAAAAGGGTAAAAAGATAAGTTATCTATGACTGGGAAAAAAATTTGGCCAATGACAAGAGTCTAATCTCTAAAATTTATAGAAAATTTCAACCCAGCACACTACCACAAAAACAAAAATAGCCTAATTAAAAAAATGGCAGAGGGTCTGAACAGACACTTCATCAAAGGAGTCATTCCGGTGGCTAAGAAACACATAAAGAAATACTCGCGATCATTAGCCATTACAGAGATGCAAATCAAAGCAATGAGATATCATCTAACCTCAGCATTAATACCAAAAACCAAACTCACTGCCAAAACCAAACTCACTGCCGTTGAGTCAATTCGACTCATAGCGAGCCCTCCTTGGGTTTCTGAGGCAGTATCTCTGTGGAAGTAGATTGTCAAATCTTCCTTCTGAGAAGTGGCTGGTGGGTTTGAACTGCCAGCCTCCTGGTGAGCAGTCCAGCATTAATAGCAAAGTTCAAAAAAAAATAATAATAACAAAAATATGCAGAAAGCAGTGTATCAAAATTCTTATACACTGCTGCTGGGACTGTAGAATGGTGCAACCATTTTAGAAAATGGTATGGCACTTCCTTAAAAAGTTAGAATTAAAAATACCATATAATCCAGCAATCCTACTACTAAAGATATATCCTAGAGAAATAAGAGCAGTGACACAAACAGATATATGCATACCCATGTTCATCACAGGAGCTCTGGTAGTGTGATAGTTGGAGCTGTGTGTCAACTTGGCTGGCCCCCAGTTCTGTGTGGTTGTTCCCATGATGGGATCAGATGACTGTGTTCTGAGTGGCCAGTCTGCCCAAGGGTAGTTTCCCTAGGGGTGTGGCCTGCTTCCAAGGTATCCAGGGACATCCTGGGAAGAGCCGCATTCCTTGAGGGGTTGGAACCCTGGTGTGCGAACTACAGACTTCTGTGAGTGAGCAGCCTACTGCTCGGCCTGGAGATCTCGGATTCGTCTTTTGTTGGAGTCAACAACCAGTGTACTGCATGCCAGCTTGAATCTCTCGGCTCCCCTGTGCTTGCAGAAGCCAAGGCGGCCGCAAGCCCCATCTCCTCCAGAGACTTGGACTTCTCAGCTTGGACTTGTTGGCTTCTATACGTTTGTGAGCCATTTTCCTAAGATAAATTTCTCTCTCTCTCTCTCTCTCTATAAATATATATATACACTTTGCTGGTTTTTGTGTTTCTCTAGAGAACCCAATCTAACACAGGTAGCATAGTGCCTAAGGCACTTGACTGCTAACCAGAAGGCTGGCGGTTCAAACCCACCAGCCACTCCTCGGAAGGAAGGTTGGGCATTCCTACTTCCATAGTGATACTGCCTCGGAAACCCAAGGAGGGGTCACTATGAGTTGGGGCCGACTCGATGGCAAATAACAACAACAACATGTTCATTGCAGCATTATTCACAGTAGCAAAAAGATAGAATAAACTTAAATGGTGATCAGTGGTTAAATAGATAAACAAGCTATGATACACACAGTCGAATACTACACAGTATTAAAGAATAAAGATGAATTCACAAAACACTTCATAATATGGATGAACCTGAGTGAAATTAGTCAGTCTCAAAAGGACAAATATTGTATGGGGTCATTATTATAAAAAGACAAGAAAAGCTTTACACATAGACAGAAGCATTCCTTGGAGGTTACCAGGGGTGGGAGGGGAAGGAAGGGTAAAACACTGACTAGAGGGAGCTCTGGTGGCATAGTGCCTAAGGCATTTGACTGCTAACCAGAAGGCTAGTGGTTCAAACCCACCAGTCAGTCTTCGGAAGAAAGATTGGGCAATCTACTTCCATAGAGATACTTCCTCAGAAACCCAAG